CCCCTGGAGGGGGGGGGGGGAAAGGGGGCGAAAGGCCGCCAATGAACAAAATCCACCTCACGTTTACGTGAAGCTGTCTTCCTCTCTTCGCCTACCAACTGACCATCGCGGGATTCTCTCACCCCGAGTATCAGGTTGCTTTCGACGAGAAATCAATCGTTCCTAGACAAAATTTTTAAAACAATTGTTAATAAAGAGCTAATCACCGCTCCTCCTCTTGTCCTTACCATTAATGGGAAGTGGACTGGGTAAGCATGTCGGGTTATCAAAGGGGATCCTAAAATTACCCTAAAATTACCCTAATTATTACCCTAAAATTTCAGCTTCCTGGATTCCGTGGTTCTCGAGATAACAATTTACCCGTAAAAACTTTCACTAGCCCGTAGGTGATATCTGAGAGCGCGGGAAGGCTGAACTTAAGTGGGCAAGGTTGAGCGTGGGCAGGGGTCATTACTCTAAAATTTCAGCCTCCTAGACTCCGTGGTTACTGAGATATTGATTTATCCGAAAAAAATTTTCACGGGGCCGTACGAGTTACCCGCGGGTACGGGAAGGCTGAATTAGAATGGGCAAGGTTGGGCGTGGGCAGGGGGTCATTATTCTAAAATTCCAGCCTCTTAGACTCCGTGGTTCCTGAGATATTGATTTACCCGTAAAAAACTTTCAACCGTCCCATACCCGCAGATAACTCGTACGGCCTAGGGGCCTAGGGGCCGTACAAGTTAACCGCGGGTACGGGAAGGTTGAATTTAAATTTGCCGCGTCACCCGTTGGCGGGTAACACTATACCGAAATTTCAGCCGCCTAGCTTTTGTAGTTCCCGAGTTGAATGTGCGGGACAAAATGTGGGACACACACACAAACACACAGACAACCCCGTGACAATATGCGTTTGGTAACGCTGTTACACAGCACAAAACGCATAACAACTGTCTTCCTTATTCAGTGGCGATTTCTATACGTGTAGGTAAAACTTATAACTGCACAGCCGTCATAATTCGTTACTTTATCTAGTATCAAGACTGAGACTGCCTGGACAATCAGTCTGGGTGTCCCATTTTAGCAGTACCACTGGACATCATCGTGTTTCTTCTCGCCATTAATGCAGCCGGCAGCTTTTTCAGTTTTCTATTTCAGGCTTCTCTTATCCAAGTAATTTCATATTTAGTCCGGTCAATGTTTACAGCTAAGGGATGAAACACAGGCGGCACCGTAAAATGTCTTTTTGTACATGACACCTAAGTCCAATCCTCCTACTCTACTATTTTAAGGGTGGTTCAATTACATTAAAGTTTAAAAGAGAATATAGAAGGAAATGGTGAAAAGAAGAAATGGATATTAAAATAAGTAAGGGGTATAAGGAAATATTTCTAGTAGGTAAGAAATGTTTCGGTCCATTAAGTCGTATGCGTTTCTTACCGTTACCACAATTGGACCTCGTCAGTACAATGATTGTGGTAACAGCGTAATTTAATATAATATGTTACAAATAATATCAGGATTATTTCCCAGATTGTCGCGAGCGCCAGTGGTGTAGCGGTATCATTGCACCCTCCCACGGTGCAGACCCGGGTTCAACTCCCGGCTGGCGCAAAGCCCTTTTACCCCTTTTCACTAGAATATATATAAAATTCACTGCTTCCACTCGCAGTGTTGATCCACTTATTTGCATGCTAGATGCCAACAAATCCTAGAACTCTCTTTTGCATTCAGTGTACTGGTCCTCGAAAAAATTCGCTTCGTTCATAAATATGGAGCATGATTCTTCCTCAAATTTTTGTAAAACTGATATTTTAATGTATTTTCAACAGATGCTCCATCAGATATTTTAACGCTTGTTACCAGTCCAGCTATTTCTGAGACTCAACATTTTACCACTTAATAAACTCTGGGTAGAATGTAGCCGGTCGATTCCCAGGTGTCACCACTTTTTTTTTTAATTTATTGTATACATACTGTATGCATAACATAATATAGAATGTATCAAATTTTCCGGAAAAGCACTTTGAAACGCCTGAAAAGAACGGTAAAGAGC